ATATATATCTAATATATCTATTAAATATATTGCTCTGAACGGAACCTCAAAAAATAAAAATTGAATTACCTGTCTTCCCTTAAGACCCTTCTTTCCCCGGATCCCAGGAACACCCTAGAATATACAGATGTCAAAAGTAAACACTTGTTGAATAAATGAATAAGATATTACAGATCTTTTCTTTCTCAAACATCGATTAATGAAGTATCACAAAGAGAAAACTGAATTATTCTCGAAACTGGTATGACATTCAGAAAATCTTCAATATATTAATTTAATTGAAGTGGCTCTTTTTCTCCTTCATAACAGAATCCTGATTTTATTCTGGAATGCATTCTATCTGTACTTCCAAATGGGATCCTACCATTCCTCCGGTGATAGTTCTTTGTCCAGAGGTAGGCACACAACCACATAAACAGGAAGGTCTTATTTTCCAAAACCTAAGGGACAATTAACCTCCTCTCTTCCCTACCTCTTCGACTGGACATAAATGAAAGCACATTTAGCCCTTGCACTGACAATTCTGCAACCGGGTGGGAAACCTGCCTTAGCATAAAGCCAACATTAGGTGAAGCAAAGTAGAGAGGATGATATCACTGTGCTAAAGATCATATTGTGCCTACATCCCACCTAACCTATAGATTTCTGGTTATGTAAGAAGTAGTAGGGCATAATACTTAAATGCTCAAGCACTGGAGCCAGAACATCTGTGTTCAAATCCTGGCTCTGCTCTTATTACCTGTGTCTTGCATATATCCAACGACCCAGTAAATCATTTGCTGTTATCGTTACCATCATTATTAAAAATTTCCTCATTTTTAAGCCAGTTTGAGTTGGGATTTTCTGTAACTTGCATTCTAAATACCCTCACTTACATAATCACCTTGAGACTTAGACTTACCTATAAGCCTTAGAGACTAAGAAATCTGCCAAAAGCATGTAGCATGGGTTTATAGGTACATAGAGCTAACTTAGAGGATATCATTGGTGGCAGTAATCCATCCACTTTCACTTCAACAGTGTTTGATAAAACTCATCTAATGTCTTCTCAAAAAGCACGGGTGAGCGATAGGACTCATTTCATTAAGACTTTATACATCTTTACATAATATAGTCAACCTTTTTTTTTAAGAGATAAGGTAATTATTTTTTACAACTTTAGTAGGGCCACTAAATCTCAGCAGGAAACCTAAGGATAGTACAGACAAAATTATATAAACACTTTGTCATATATATACACGCATACACACGTTACTGACTTTCAGGAAGGAATTCTTTATATTTGTTTTTGGAAGGGATTAACATTATACTCTTTTTTTTTTTTTCCTGCTCTTCTCTACACTTCTTCTCTACTCTCTTCTCTACACGTACACATTTTATAACACAATAACAATACCCAGTTAGCTATATCATTCATAGTTTAATGAAAATTTTGAAGTAGCCAAATAATATTAGGACATGGCACCCATGATAGCCATAATATCACAAAATGGTCTTACATTTATGACTTGAGACAGATCTTAATATTTTCATATAGACTGGTCAAAACTAGTGAGTATGATTACAGGCAGTGTGCCTAATGATGGTCAGTGATAGGATCCTCAAATTCAAGATAATAACATTTTGCAAGGACATATAATTTTGCTTTATTTATTACATCATTAACTAGAAATAAGTTCATGTCTAAAGGCCAAGAAAGGATTGTATCATGTGCAACAGAGTAATAAAAATGTAAACTGTATATACTTCTTTGGGTGAATGAGAAGCATTCAATTCTTTGCATGACAGATTGGAAACATGAACTCTAAGTCTGCTGTATCACATGACAATCAGGTAGCTTAGTTGTGGGATTACACTGAAGATATTTCTGCAAGTGAAAGAAATGACTTGCATATTCATCAAGGGAAAATCTTCACCTCATCTCACCAAAGAAGAATGAACATTTTGATTGCCACAACAGCACATTTAAATTCTGAATATTTCTTCTCTGTCAGGAAATTCACAAGTCATTACAAGAAAATGTAATATAACTCACTCAAACTGACTGTATGTTTGAAAAAGTCATCTAGCAAAGAATAATTTGGTTTACTTTCATTGGCAAAAACCAGTTTCCAGAAATGAAAACTCTGGCCTAACCACCATGCCTACAAATAATAGAGTCAAATGCTAAATTCTGAATATGACTATATTTTCAAACCTTATGATAATATACTAATATTATTCAATTCTATCTTTTTCAGTGAATACTGACAGTACAAATGAAGTAATGCAATAGAAATCACTGAACAGTACCGAAAGTAGACATGATGAAGTTGGAATACCAAAACTCTGTACTTAATTGTTCTAAGATAACAACCATTTTTGCAAAGATTCTATCTTTATTCACAAGAGCCTATATTTATGAACAGCTATCTTCCATTATTAAATTAAACAAAAACATATCTTCTGAAGCTGAATTATTTACTATACATTGTATTGAAAAGTACAAGACCTGTCAAGAGTTTGTACTTAAATACTAATGGATTACAAGATACAATTTTCATAAGCAGATATTTTAATATTTCAATTTGCATTTTTTAAAAATTAAATTTAAAAAGCAAACCAGGGACGCCTAGGTGACTCAGTTGGTTAAGTGTCGACTCTTGATTTTGGCTCAAGTGATGATCTCACAATCATGAGATCCAGTCCCACGATGGGCTCCACAGTGGGCATGGAGCCTGCTTAAGATTCTCTCTCCCTCTACCCCTCTCTCTCTCTTTTTTAATGTTTATTTATTTTTGAGAGAGACAGAGACAGAATGCTAGTGGGTTAGGGGCAGAGAAAGAGGGAGACACAGAATCCGAAGCAGCCTCCAGGCTGTGAGCTGTCAGCACAGAGCCCGACATGGGGCTCGAACTCACAAGCTGTGAGATCATGACCTGAGCCGAAGTCGGATGTGCGACTGACTGAGCCACCCAGGCGCCCCTGCCTCTACCCCTCTCTTACCCCCAACTTGTGCATGTTCTCTTACAAATAGATAGATAAAAACAAATAAATCTAACCATATATATTTGTATCACCTTATTTCCTTAAAACAAATTCGGTAAAATTCAAGAGAATCTAATTATATATCTGGTAGGTGGTTTTTCTTAAAAGGTGGTTTGCTTCACACAATAAGATTACCTATCTGATAAGTGTTTATGACCTCTGTTGTCCTATCATAAGCATATCACTTTAGAAATAATATTTGAAGGAAATGGACTTACTCTTTCTCCTTCAGGTCCCAGTTGTCCTACTTCTCCAGGAGAGCCAATAAAACCCTTAAAGTAAGCAAATAATCTTTTCATTTGAATACTTACCCTGTAAGGAATTTCAAATAGAGATAATAAAATTATTCCATAATAGTGTGAAACTATTAGGCTTAACAGAATAAATAACTTCCCTTTGCCTTATCACCTTCCTTCCAGAAGTTACAGATCAATCTTTACATTAAAAAAAAAAAAGTAGGGAACATAACTTAAGACACAGCGGCCAATGAAAATCAAGACCAAATCCTTTCATTGAATTTTATAGTGGGCAGAAAAATATATAATTAACTAAAAATTAAGGCAGAATGGAAGTATCAAAAGATATTAAGTAGCATGAAGGAAGAAGAGATCCATTCCAATGTGGCAGAAGGTAAAGTCAAAAAAGTTTTCAAAAGATACTGACACCTGAGATAGGACTACAGCGTAGCTAAAATCCTGATAAGCACAGGATGGAGAAAGAACACTGCCAGCAGAACAATCGCAGAAAGCAGAATCAGAGAATTTCAGGGAGTGTCTGTAAATGGTAACAGATAGCATTATACTTGTAAGATGCTTTGGAGAAAAGCAAAAACCCACTGTACCTTAAAGAAGATTCCAATTGGTCAGACAACCAAAGGGTATTTATATATAACTATGCAAGGTACTTTATCCTAACATACTTTAGTTATAACCTAAAGGTAAATAAAGAGGTAAATAATCTCTTTACCAATTTAAAAGGTAAAGTGTATGATAGTTTGGAGAGTACATTAAGGCGAGACTTAAATTTCAAGCTAAGAGTTTTAGACTTTATATTTTAGGCAACTGGAAGCTACTGCCTTTAAAGGACTGTGATAGTGACCTTAGGTTAGGTTGTACTTGCAAAATATTAATCTGTTGGCAGAATATAGAATATATCTGAGGCAAGAAACAGTGAATGTAGGAAAATATATTAGAAGGCTCTTTCAATGGTCCAAATTTGAAGGCTTATGAGCTTGGATTATGATTCCAAAACATTATTTTCAGAATCACCAGCTACAGATAGCCTCAAGTTTAAAAAGACTTAACTTTTATTTTAATACATACAACTGAATTTTTTATTATAAACAAAAAGAAGAGACACCCTAACTGGTATACACTTATCACTGAACTAAGAAATCAACTGAAAACTCAAGAGAAAGTTAGACCTCTATTCGATATAGCCTGAATAAGGTGCAAAAACATTTTAAAGATTTTAATGAATAATTACATAGGTATTTCATAAAGGTTTCCTGAGAATTATTATGCTGGTTCTAACAGAATATAAAATGTCAGCAGCACCCACCAAAAAAGTCACACGGAGTTGTGATCATTCTCAAGACTCTGTCCCTAAACTACAGTTTAGTGTGTAATGAAACAAAGAACATTAAAAAAATAATAATATATATGCTTTTCCGTTTTAGATTGAAGGTTTTATATCCAGTTAGAGGCAATTTTGTGTCACCAGTGTGCCACTAAAAGGTCAGGAGAGGCCCTACATACTTCTATTGTTTGAGGCAACTTGCATATTATTATACAAAGAATTGCCAAAAGAGGATTACAAAGTGATGGTCTATTTTAAACATATGCACTTAATGTAAAAGTAATTATAACACCACAAAATGAAATTAAATAATGCTGTCAGTCAAAAGATCATTTATCACAGGATTTATAAAAATATTAATTTACAGTACATAGTATGTGGTATAGTGCAATAACAAGATACAAACCAAAAAAAAAAACCTCTTACAATCCTGTCAGCATGTTTTTGTGATTTTTGTCCTTTTAACCAAATGTGGATTTGAAGTTAATGTTAAAAGTCTACATTTGAGAACCTCTGTGCATAGGAAGCCTAGAGAAATGGACTTCTTGATTCCTCCTGTATTCACAAAGGAAAATTAAGGAATCAAATCAATTAAATCAATCAGAAAAGAAATGATATTTGTTATTTTGAAAAATGTTTTTTTAATGTTTACTCTTTTTTTTTTTTGATAGAGAGAGACAGAGCGTGAGTGGGGGAAGAGCAGAGAGAGAGGGAGACACAGAATCTGAAGCAGGATCCAGGCTCTGAGCTGTCAGCACAGAGCCCGACACAGGGCTTGAACTCACAGACCATGAGATCATGACCTGAGCTGAAGTTGGACACTTAACCGACTGAGTCACCCAGCTGCCCCTAAAAAAAATGTTTTTATGAAGCTGCTGTCAAAACCTAAAAATACAACTTAAAAAGGGTTACAACCCAGACTATAGTTTCCATACAAATGAAAAAAAAGCAACAAAAGGATGTCTATCATAGTGCAAAAGGATGTATAACATATAGTGACATAAAGAAGAACTTCGATTGAAGCAAGATGAGAAAATACAGTAAGAGAAAACTGCATGGTGCCAAATAACGTGTCTTGGTGGTACTAGCTAATGCACAGAAGAGACTCTCAAATTCCAATAAAATGAAAGAGTCTGCAAAGAAAATGCATGCTATATGCTAGGCACTGTGGTTTAAGAATGCTAAGCTCAACAATAGCCAAATTATGGAAAGAGCCTAAATGTCCATCA